GTCGATCCTGCGGAAATAATGATCTTGCGCATACAGTTGGTAAAAGCAGTTAAACCTTGTTGCAGACTTTCCTGACCGATGTGAACCGTACCTGGAAGATCAAGTTCGAGTACAATAAATTCAGAATTCGTTATTGAATCGTCAGCGTTCAGGATTTCCTGTGGAAAGCAAACTTCAGCTGCTCATATTCCAAGGAATGAAATCTTCAATAATCTTTAATCAATACGTCTGCGTGATACGTAGAACAACCGGATTAAAATGTTTATAGGCAGTAGATCTTCTTTAGTCCCTGTGTTTTGTCTTCGCAGTTTAAGGCTAACGGTGCTTAAAGATTTATGGCAACTTAGATTTATGATGTCTGATCGTTAGAAATGGTATTTCATTATGATATTTTACAACGTTTGCCGCTGCGGCAAAAGCCATATTTCTTTCACAAATGCGTCTGTCGCAGAGTATAGTTTCCATGTTTTTTTATTGTCCTTCATTACGTCTGTTTGACTGCTCGCACGCGCGAGGAAAGTTTTGTAAACATTTCTGTTATTTTTTGGGCCGTTTTATCAAATCAAGTCAAGCACTGGTCTCTGCGTTACATATGAAAGTCTTCTCATATCGGTGATCAACAACGTATGTTCATTCGTGTCGCAGTGGTGCCGTCGGACGTTGAAGATGCTTATAAATATCACTGCTGGAAGTTGTTAAATTGAGCCTGACTTTAGGAGAAACCATATGTTTCCAGACCGCACATAAGGTTTACTAATTCGGCGGCTTTCAGGATGATGATATTCCTTTCAGTTCTTATAGTTCGATCTTTCCATATTTCATACCGCTTGTTCATGTCAGTTTAGTGCACCGGTTCACTGCAGGCTCAACGTCGCAATTGTTAGATCCTCAGACTGGCGATCGCCCTCATAATTTTCGTCTTCTTGGCGTTGGCTCTTAGCCCCACTATCGCAACAGTATTGCAAACGCTTTTGGTGTCATTTAGCCCTACATGCGGGTCGCTCAGTAACGCCGTGTCATCGGTGTAATCAAAGTCCATTAAAAATACCACCGGTTGTTTTGAGCTTCGATTCTGACTTACCATCTGTCCGTCGTTGTAATTAGGGACAACGATTGATGCTCTCCGTCATTATGTTGAATAACAAAGGAGCTAACTCGTTGCCTTGACGAACCCTACTGCTTATGCTTAACCATTCTGGCAGTGGTCGTTCTGTCCAAGTAGCACATTTTTTTCTCTTAGACACGTTCTGTCAGGTTTACCATCCCCTATGAAATTCCTTCATGATGAATAGCACGCAGTATCACCATACTGCCCGATGATAAACTGCCTTGAATGCTGCTCGGAAGTCCAGAAACGTCACGTTTCAGTGTAGTTGGAAGCTCCGGCACTGTTCGACGATTCATTTTGCGCTAGGATGCACTAGTTCTCGTTCCTGAAGCCTGCTTAATTTGTTTGCAGCAAAATATTTGTGACTTTTTTCAGCCTGCCAAAGATAACCCTCGCGAACTTCTATAGAACAGGCAGAAGGGTTGTGTTTGTGTTTAGTCACTGCAGTCGGCTTGACTCCTGGTTGTGAAAATCGAGATGATCACACCTTTCTTCAGTCTTCGGGGTTCACAGATATCTGTTAGATGCTATCATAACTCAGATGTATCAATCTAAGAAAGTTTCCCCTTGCATTTTAGGACTTCTACCCAAGTCGCATCGTACCCGCAATACTTCGAACTTAAAGACTGCAGAATTGTAAAATGAATGCATTTGTTCACTAGAATTACTGGTTTGAAAAAAAATAAGATGAGTGAGCAGCACCAAAGGTAACCAGCTCATTTGCTTCACCAATGGCAGAAGCGATCAAGAACAATAATCTAGACGTCGCTGCTTAAGACGTTTCCTGGTGTCAAAAATTATGGTAATATTCTCGTTGCAAGAAGCTGAGCTATCGGTTTCTGGGATCCTTTTCAAATTTCTGAACTGTCAGCTGTCTGCCGCGCACATGTCAGTGTCTGATGGCTTCTGACCGCAGACCTATTCGCGTTTAGAATTGCCGACAACAGCAGGAACCATCAAAAAACACCCAAATTAGTAGAGGTATGGAAGCAAAGGTCTCCATGTCTCAAACGCGAAAGTTCAGTTGATCCTCGTACCAGATTAACTGAACGTAGCTTCATAAAAATCCAAAAGACGTTGTAGCCATAGTTTAAATTTCGTGCAGTTAAGTGTTTTGTTCGGAAAGGCTTGTCGCTGTGGAATCATATTAACAGTTAAAAAGAGCTTTATTCTACACGTGGCGGAACGCGCCACTCAACGGTCCAGGTTTCGACTGGACTTGTCAGCCCTCATCAGCCAGAATGGGTTGACTCACGAAGTTTATTTATAAGATGCTGCGCTGTTCGTTTGGTAAATTAAAATCAATCAAGCAATGGATTCATTGCGTGGTTATCGTTTGTTGCGCAGCTGTCATACTCCTGTCCGCTGTTAAGTCGTCGGCAGATCGGTTGTTGCTGTCTCTATGATTCTTTATTTTCTTGGACCCTTAGAAACTCTTGATTAGGCATTTTTAGTCCTTTGACATTTCCACTTCAGGGTGAAGAGTCCAAAAAATAAGATTGTAGAGCGACAACAACTACCGACCTGCGGATGAAGTTAATATCGAAGACATGACAGCTGCACAACAGGCAACAACTACGCAATGAAGGTATTGCTTAATCAGTTGAAATTTATCAAACGACCGGTGCAGTATCCCACAAATTAACTTCGTGAGTCAAACTGTTTCGGCTAATGAAAGTTGGCAAGGCCAGTCGAGAGCTAGTCCATTGTGTGACGCGTTGAGCTGTGTGCAGAATCAGGTTCTTTT